CTCATTTTACAAGTCAATAAAATAAGAAGAGAATATAAACACTAAACACTGGAGCAGCCTGCAACCGGTTATCCGCCGCCGTACACCTATTATATACATATAGGTGTATTATAGGCACCGATATAATACTGAGTAACTTGTCAAGTCGCTAATTAGTCAACCAGGGTGATTAGTAACCCGCCCGGTGAAACCAGTTGAAATTTACTGGCAAACCCGACAAAAATCGTAAACGTATATTATAATGATAATATAATAATAATAACAACACTACCCGAACACATAAATCCACTCTACCGCCGGTCGTCTTCGGATCAAGAATATTACGCCGTGTATTGTATAATATAATATATTTATTTAATATGTTGCAGTATAAACTCGGGCGATTCGAAAAAAATGCGACGAGGAATGTCTCTTCAAAGCTATTTGAACATTTTTTTTTTTGTATAAAAATTTTGCTCGTCAATATGCACGTGTCGCCGGTCGACCATCAGCGTCTTATTTTCTTCGCATTCTTTTTTTTTTATCACTCTTGCACGTCAAATATTCGAATTTGTTACTCAGATTTATGATTGTGCGTGGGCGTCTCATCACGTTGACCATTCATCGTACCTATATAATATTATATACATATAATATATGTGCACTGCAGATTGAGTTAATATACGCCGGTGTACAATTCGTTTTGGCAAATAGGATTTCGAAAAAAAAAATATATTATAATATATACGTTTTACATGGCATCGGCGCGGCGGCAGCGGACGACCGATGCGGTCCGGTGAAAAACATGATTTATTCCACCGAGTTTTCATTGCGCGCGCTTGTCTTATTATTATTATCATATATTATTTTTTTCAACGGAATACCGGTCAATATATACGTATATATTTTTTTTTTCAAAACGATTTACACTATAATCAAGTTGTTATTCCGTGTCAGTCTTCATATACTTATCATCAACTATCTCACCTCCGCGAGCGAAACAACTACATTTGCAGATGAATTATCTATAAATTCGAAATTAATGTTATTATATTATTATCGTGAGCGTTGTTCGATTATATTTTATTGTTCGGCTCAACGCAATTTACCAAATGATTCGAAGGCGATTTCTGTGTTGGCGTTTTTCATTTGTGAATATAATATATAATGTAGGTACGTGTGTGTATACTATAATGTATGTTATAATATAATTGTTTATCTCATAAACTATCTATAATTAATAAATAATAATAATAATAATATATACAAGCTAAAACTGAAGTAGAATTCGATACTAGACTTATTATAATATATAGGTATAGATATACCTATATAAGACAATATTTTTATTAATTAAAACGTTCATTTTGGAAAAACTGGTTATGTTCAAATTAACTCGTTAAAACACATTCGTGACGCGTTGTGTCTTAGTTGAAATGCACCAACCTATCGGGTGTAGGCAATAAACCAAGTATGTGTTAACTATAAAATTTTTATTTGTGAAATAATCAATGCGTGAAAAAATGCCAACATTGCTAACTATAATCTAATGTATACATTTTATTATAACTGGTAACCACACGTCCACACATGTAAACAATAATTAAATAATATTGTATCACTGTTATGTGTGCGTGGACATTTTTTGTTTTGATAATTAAAAAACTGTATAATTAATTTGATCGCATACTGCCCAATTAAAATAAATCACGATTTTTCTTCTAGTGGAAATTGAATAGGATATTTAATTAGAATGAATTATTCACCTGACATTATATCATAATTAATATTTTCAATTTTTTCTACGAAGTCAAAATAAGTTCAATATAATATCTAGGTAATCGTAATCATTACGGATTACTGTACAAGACCGTTAAATGTTAATTACATTAGAACTTGTAATTAATTTGCAGAAAACATTTTTTAAATTGTATACGTTATTTGCGTTGTCAAATTTCAGATATAAGTTAACCTTAATGATAACAAATATTTCTTAGTCAAATAATATTAATTTTTCCCCGGCGTCTGCATGTCGATATCATGTCCCTAGTAACTCGATAAACAATAAACCAATATTCGTATTGATGACAATTTAATTTTTCATTTCTCCATCGGAAATATATACCAACAATTAAATTATCACATAGAGAAATACGAATGTGTTGCAGAGTTATTCATGCGGATAGAGTTAATAAATCGTATTTTCCACCTTAACTAAATATTTCAATTTTATACGTTTTAAAAAATGTTCGACTATAAATACGCATGAAGGTATTAATGTATTATTATATTATTTAACTAAAGACATGATATTTTTAACTTTTATACCATTTATATACATTATACTTATTGTGAAATGAATCTTATTGAAAAACAAATATATATATATGTCACGTTTATTAATATGTTGTTATTGTAATAAAAGTTCATAACCAAGTAAACAAATTTAAAGAATTTTTCAGAATCAATCAGTTTGGTGTAATTGAACAATTTTTATAAATTCGTAAAATGTGTTATTTGTTGTTTTTTTAATGTAAGATGAAAGACAAGTGTTTATTAAACATTTCACTTTTACATTTCTAGTACCTTATTGTTATAGTAATATACTAATATCCCGTGGATTGACGTGTTCACTGTCAGTGTTTCTTTTTTTACAAGACTGTGTCGCTATAAAATAAAAAATATTATAACGTTTGTTTGAGATCTTGCAGATTATTTTTTTCTAACTATAGCGAAAACTGTGTCATTCTAATTGGATTAAGTGAAATCTGTGACTCTATATACATATTTTCGAGGATGAAATCTCGTGAATACTAAATGTATCTATGTGACCGTATTTGAGGGCCGATTATATATTATCGCGAAGCGTGCGTGTATTATTTTACTACGTAATTTATGACGCAGCGTTCAATCAGCTCGGTATTTAACCGGTGTATCCGAATTACTTTCGCCAGAAACGAATTAAAAATCAAAGCAACCGAATTGCGTGTGAGATAAATTAATAGTATAGGTATATCCAAGTTGTCTGCTAAATTAATAGGAGGTATGGTAGTTATTGTATATGTGTGTAATACTATTAGAAAATTATGTTATTTGAATCGCGTAATCATATGTATATACCTACGTGACTACTTTTAGTAGTAAATAATGTAAATAACATTGCAGGTTTTTTATCCAATACTGTTGTGTGGTTTAACTTGACTGTTTTTGGTACACTATCAGCCCCCTAACTGGAATATAAAAATCTCTTAACGCTATTCGGTTTCCTGCAAACTCAAATTATCATTCAATTATTAGTGCGTTTATATATTATATTAGTGTTATATAAGTAATGATTATTTTTTAGTTTCCTTAATTGAATTTATAATAATTGAGAATCTTTATGTGTTTGTTATTTTTGACTATTGCATATGTATATTTATATACATAGATCTTTTATACATAGATGGATGTATTTGTATTATGTACCTATTTACGAATGTATGTATAAACGTATGTAATATGTATACTATAGTGTTTACTGCTCGTCTTGCTCAATATAATTATTATTCGTTTCAAATAGTATTATATTTTAAACTGCCTTGCAACGTAAACAATACAACCGCTATGTTTATAAAAATGAAATTTTATATAGCTCTTAAACTTTACCCGAAAGCCCGAAACCAGCGGTAATCTCACTAACAAAACTGCACTATAAAGTTATTAAGTTGGTACCTATATATACAGCTACAGTATAACATGTTTTAATTAAATTTAATATTTAATATAAACAAGTAGTGTATACTGTATATATAATATGTTTAGGTACATAAATCTTTTAAGTTTTTCAACAGACTAAATACTTAACGACTGAGATTCAAATCCCGTGTATAGATAATTTTTTTTTAATCGAATCGTAACGTAATATTATAATAAAATCGTCAATTTATTATATTATGTATACAGGTACGATGAGTGTTTATAAAAATTGTCGCGTGGCTGTTAAATATGTGAATCTGTGAACACCGTCAAACGATCGAAAATACATGCTGCAATGCTATATAATAAAATGTCAACAATAAAATAAAATATTCGTTTGGAACGAGTCGCAGAAGAAACCCGAACGACGTCGCTGTCGCCTGTCATAGGGTAGTGGTAGCGGTGGCGGCGTCGTATAATAGTGGTTTCACCGCCTGCGATCGACTGCCGTATTGCTGTAACCCGACTACTACTAAATAATAGTAATAATAATATTATACTCGACGACATGTCATACGAACTCAATCAAACCGTCAGCGTTTTCCCGCCAGTGTTTTGGTGTGTACGTACGCGTATAATTTTGTACGCGCAGAGCATAATAATGTCACACAAAGCGGGAAGATTCGTCGAATGACAAATAAAAAATAAAAATTAAACAAAACGTCGGCGGTGGTGGCGGAGAAGATACGCGCCACTCGAATCCGATGCGGGTGCGACGGCGGCGTTGACGTGATAAATAATAATAATAATAGTAGTAATAAAATGCCGACCAAAACGAAATTACACATTTTTCACAGTCTCGTTCCCACGGCTCGGCGGCAGAGGTGTGACAATGATATTATACTATTATAGGTGTCGTGTTGTTGTATTATATATTACGGTGTTATTGTGAAAAAAAAATCCAAAATGAAGACGTTACTCCGTGTAATAATCGAGCCATCGTCGCGCGCATATTAGGTACGGCTGTATAGGTATTATTATTACTATTATCTTCGCGCCCCGCCCGCCGGACTCCGCGGTGGTGGTTATCAAACATTGCCCGCGTCGTTATATATACCTATATTTTATTGTGTATCTTTTATATTATATTATATTATTTATATATATATCACTCCGCCATCGTATAATAGATCGCGTACTACCTGATATATATATTGTATGTATTTGTTTCGTACCCACGGTTTATAATCCAATAAATAATAGCGTGATTATTATATTATTATTATATCACATGACACGTGTATAAAATAAAAAAAATATGTAATCATCATTGTTGTGTTTTGACAGGTATGTTGACAGTTCCCATTGCCGAGGTGACGTGGCCCATGATATTGGTCCTGGTGTCGTTGCTGTCCGCCGCCATCGGCGCCCTCTTCATGGTCGTCTTCCTACACCTAAAACTGTGAGTTTCCGTCTACTGGTTTATAGTTTATACCTGCCTATTATTATTATTATTATTATAATACTTGTTTTTTTTTATTTTGTCGGGTTTTTATTTGATTTTTGTCAACGAGCGTTCCTCGTATTGTTTCCTCCCCATACCCTGCACCACCCTTACCACCATCGTATTATGCTATCACGTCGTATCCAGGCATAATATATTATTATGATGACTGACGACGTGTACGATCATAATATGATGGTGTGTAAAACGGATGGTTTACGAGCAGACTTTTATTTTTTTACGACGGTGTCAGCGTTTTATAAATATTATCGCCGAGCTAAAATATACATCGATAATAATAACGATTTTGTAATATTATTATGTGCGTGTACATAATATTACATGTAGGTAGGTACCTATATACGAAAAGCGAGATTGATAAAATACAACCGCTCGGTGACAATAATAATCATTACAAGCCTTTTTACGATCGAATATATATAGGTACGCACACGCATTATATTATAATATATAATACGCACGCGCGGCTGCAACACTAAGTATAATATATATGAGTGTACAGTGTACACGCGTTTAATGTATACGTATGAAATTATAAATGATAAACATAAAATATATAAGCGAAATTTTATTTCTCGATATCGCCGCAGTGTGTCTCGTGTACCACTATACGGTATAATAATAATAATAATAATAATAATAATAATAATAATAATATATATTGCAGGTACTTACCTACAACGCGCGCGCGCGCACACACACACACACACACACACACACACACGTCGTCGGGTTTATGTATACGTCGAGCACCTATATTATGTCGTGCGATTATATTGTGCATATATATATACATATGCGATACTTGCCCACACGCGACACTGCACGCAGCACACGTACCTAGTATACCTACCCGTGTACTGTAACGCGTATGTATAATACGGTATTGTAAGACGTCAGTGCGCGCTAATGCGACTTCGCCCACACGCGTAATGCTGGTACACTCCAAGGCGCACACATACGAGCGCTCTCGGTCGTATAATAAACGAAGCACCCCGCACGTCATGATAATATAATACGTACCGTGTGCTTTAGCGGACTTTACACGACGTACGCGGCTCACACGCATGTGCATGGGTAGGTAGTATCTATATAATATTATGTGTATGTAGAATATATTGTGCGGCTCGGCGTGTTCGCGTATATAATTACACGACGCGCAACATCGTTTTCGAACGCGCGCGCGAGCCCGGGACGTCCGCGCCGCTGCTGATACTTTTACACGTACCTGTACGCGCCCGGTCGATTAGCACTCGTAAACTTGTCGCTCCCGGTCTGGGGTATGGTGATAATAGTAATAATAATAATAATATCATGTCAAACCATCGTAATTACGACTCAGGCGGAGAACCGTTTAGTTTTTTTTTCCTGATTTAAACGAAATAAAAATATTTCGCCGGACTTCACCCGAAAACAGTGGTCGCGGCGTACCTGCTATACAATATATATTTGATAGTACCTATATATATACGTGTTCCTAAACATAATAATAATATACACATATTATACGATCGCCGTCGTACTAGAGGCACAAACACACACACACACGCGCGCGTGCGTAAAACACCGCGTCGTCGACGTTTATAACAGGTGGCAGGTCCGTTTTTATTAAGTATTATTATATTTTTTATTTCGTATATTATATTATAGATACGGAGAGGTACGCCCACAGTTCACTCGAGGGCTTTATAATAATAATCGTTATATTATTATATATTACATTACAGGTACGCTCGCGCATTTCGTACCCGATCCGCACTTAAATAATAATAATAATAATAGTAATAGTATAATAATAATATATGTATATAGTGGTATGGCGCGTTTGTTGTAATTATCCCGACCGAAAAACGAGATTATGATATTATATTATTATATAGGTACATATACATTCCTATAACGAACCCATCGATTTTTAACTATTCGATTCCCGCTGCAGCAACGCAATCTGCTATATTCGGCTATTCGTATACATTATAATATACACATCTATAATATATTATAATAGTAATAATAATGAGCAATATATTATACGTGGTTATTATATTATCAGATTTGACTTGGTAATTTGACTTGGTACCGTAAAATATACATATACATGTCAGGTATATGTTAGTATGGTATATACATTTTTTTCGTTTATATACGCACGCGTACATAATATTATAATACTATACTAAATATATATATTTACTGATACACTGTACAGGGGTGAAATCCGACGAAATCCGTGATGCACAACTATTCGGTTTTACATAATAATTTATGTAGCTTATGTAAGACGAAATCATTTATAACATTTGATGAATTCGCATGCGAATGTGTTTTCGAGCTATTGATTTATTTATTTATTTATTTATTTATTTATTTTTATACATACATTTATTTATGAGAAGTTTTATATCAGCAATTCTCAGCTTAGTAGGAGTCACTAAAAATTTCTTAGGTTCGCCAATACATAGATTCCCAAATATTTTGTACAGTAAGTTGTTTGTATAATTATTATCACAGGATAATAATTTTTGATATGGACGATATAGGTAAACGTATAATTTATATTGAAAATTTGAGGAAAATATGTACTTCTAAGTAGAAGTAGATTTAAAGATAACTGATTTTCTTTATCGGTATTCCCTCGGATGAACAGGCGTTACTTAGGGTCTTACTTGAGGCGAAGTAAATTGTATGCGTGTATCTATATCATTATAAATTTTGAGTAGTGTTCAACGATCAAACTTAGTCGTAAATTGCTATGATCAAAAAAAACATCTTTGACTCATTTTTTCCACCACTTCAACATTACATAATTCATCTTTTGCAGTTTTTAACGATCCAGATTCATTTGTTACCGAAAGTGAATCAAAATACCATCACTTAAAAAGGTAACCACAATATTTTTAATTGCATTGAAAGTTACGTTGAATATGGGCTTACTTATTTTATTTACGTGAATACCTTATAGATTTACCTCAATGTATTATATTCAGTGATACCTAGGTATCGTTTAGACCTATTGCATCTGTAAGACATATATAGGTAATAAACTTTTGCGTCATCATAACTGCCTCTATAAAACAAATGACGTTCATACAAAAAAATTTAAAGATTTTGTTTTAAGAAAATTTCACGAGCTTAAAAAAATTATCAATTCTTTTGTTGCTGAGGATAAAATTTACTTAATATGTTCATACTTGGCAGGTAGGACTGTTTGCTAATCAAAAAAATCATATGCAATCGACGAGAAATAGTTCAAACATTGTATTTTATATATTTGTAACTAGTTGTTCGGTAATGAACATGCGTAACTAAAATAAAACATATACCCATCATGTCCAATGATACTATATGGCAGATAAGAATACTATGAAGGCCGATGCTATTTATACTGGTATTTATATAAGTATCAATACTTATTCAAAAATCTACATTTTAATATTTAATGGAATTCAAATCGATGAATCTACAGATATTATACATTTATATTATAGCTGATGTAGATATTGATTTGAATGACATAAATGTAGAATTTGTATGCTGTTTAAATTCACTAACATTTTCTACATCTTTGGAGCCATTTTAGTTTACTTTGACAACAATGATTAAACTTTTTTAAATGAATTAAAGTACATATGTACACGGACTATTGCACTGATGGCACTACTACCATGACGTTAAAGTAATGGTCTTGCAAGATGAATCATACGAGTATATATTCTCATGACTATAAAAGAATATACTTTCAACTCATTGTTTCATTCATCTGGAGTAATTGGTAGTTAAAGATATGGGTGAAAATGTTTGCGATGTTTTAAATGTATACTTTATGCATACAATAAAAAACTTTATTTGAGCCATTGCAGCAAATAGACGTATTTCTTAAGTTTTGCGTAGGTAACAAAATGAGTTCAGGTCACAGAAGTTTGCTTCTATTCTTATACACACGTCTATAGCAATACTGTAGACGCCTTCATGGTTCATTTTAACTCCAAATTACTAATAATAACTTTACCACGAATTCACCGTGCTATCAAAAATCATTCTCAATTACAATATACAATTTTTATTTTTATTTTTAAATAGATTCGTACCTACGCACAGTACTAACATTATGGTAGATGGTTATATAATGGGGAAAAGTCTTAACTCGTACATTTTACCTTAAAGCCAAATTTCAAAAACAAAATCACTTCTTGGCTCTTGGTGATTATTTTAAACATAGTATTATATTATAATGGTTAGAAAAGTTAGCTTATATTTCAGTTTTTTTTCTATTTTCATCGACGTTAATTTGAGTATGCAATAGGATCATATTTTAATATATACTATTCTTTTACCCATATTTTTACAAGAAAAAATAAAAAAGAAGCATTTCTTGTAGGAGAATAGCGGTATAAAATGTTATCTAGTTGGGTATATTTTGGGGTCAGATGTAAGACATTGTGGATTATATACAATATACCTCATATATTAAATTATATAAATTTCAACGAATAAACATTAAACATAATTAACGTTATAAATTGGTTTTTCCAATCATTTTTAGTGCTTTTTTATTATTGGGGGTTTGATGATTTTCTTTAGTGTTTTATAGGGTTAAAAATTCTAACTCTGCATATTATGTATCATATTGGTGATTCACATTGCGTGACGAAGATAATGACAAACTATACCGAAAGTATAATATGACTCATCATAAAGAAATCAAACCAAAAATTGAAATAGTCGAGATAGTCTTAAAAGAGAATATAGGTATATGTATACAATCGCTGATTATAATTTACTTACGTTGATGTAAAAGAACGGGTGGAAACTTGTTGGAGCGATGTATAAAATATAACGCCGGCGATGGAAAGAAAAGTTCAAAAACCTCTTTAGTATATACATGTATATTATATATATATAGTGTATGAGAGAAAAGCCCACGCGCCTATAGTAGCGGCGGCCCTCGAGGAAAAACGATGTTAGAAATGTTAATAGCGTTTTTAACAACATTGCAGCAAACCATTAACGATAAAATTTATTCGTACGTACATCCTATAACTTATAAAGGATAGAACTGCAAAACTATGTTTATCTAAAGGCCAATATATATATATATATATATAGTTCGTACCTACACGTTAGGGTGCACTTACCTATATACTTACAAAACGTCAATCCCGACAAACAACAGTTGAACAGTCTGTCGATCTGTGTAGGTATATTAATACATAACTATCGGTCCTTATAAAATGTATACAAACAATTTTGAAAACCATTAGCGCGCATGAGAATTAAAAACAACCTATATACGAGAGAAACGCGGTGGAGAAAAATATCTTATATAAAATCCAAAACGAAGGTCATAAAAAAATACCGACTTCATGGGTGGTTGAGAAAAAAAAAACCAAGGTTTATCGCGAAAAAAATCCTTCGCATTGTTGTGCCAAATGGCATATGTGCACGTCAGATATAAAACTCATGTATATCAAGTCTCTTCGTAGTTAATGCCTCATTGGCTGAGTGAACAATATTTTTAAGTCCAAACACGTGGAATTATAATATGTAAATATATTTCCGTTTTATTAAACATTTCAAAACAACAAAATGTTAATTCGTGTAATACGTTGTGGCTGAAGCAGAAATGCCTAAAGTCTCGGGACCGTTCGCAAAAATAAATTTAATAAATTAAAACAAATAATATAATTTTGTAATAACAGTCCGTTTGATATCATTTAATATACCATTCAATACACAACGTCATAACCCATAAACTAATATTTACTGATGTCTGGTTTAATAGCTCCTTAAATCTTTTAACGTTCGCAGCATAAACATAAAATATATAGTATAGTGTAATACAAGTGATCCGTGATGTAGCAGGGATGCATTACATTTTAATTAGCCGTTAAATCTTTCTGCAGCTCGCAACACATGAGCATTTGAAATGTTATCTACACACTGCTAAAATGATTTGAAAACAACGATTTGTTTGTATTTACATTTTATACGATATGCCTATGATTTCCAATTTACGTAGATGTGAATCGACGAGTGCAGATTGACCTAATATAATTTAAATGGAAAACCATATTATTTTCTGTCGTTTGAAAAATAAAATAATTCATGACATTTATAAAATCAAGATGTTATTCTTTTTTCATTTTGAGTTCATATTTGCTATAATAATTATTTCCATTTTTTATCATGACGGTAAATTCTTTGGGTTTTTAAATACCGCAAAACAACAACTTTTAGACTACACAATTATGAACCACGCAGTTCGCCAGTTCGGACTACATAAAAAAAGTCATGTTGTCATGCCCCGCAGAAATGCACATATATTATAGTTACCTATATGTATAGCTGATAGTTGTCTGTCGCACTCTGCAATGTTTTTTTTTTACTCTCCCGGCGTGCGTTATATCATTTTAATATACCAGCGCAAGATTATGTTTTTAACGTTTATCAAATTTTATGGAGGTAAAACGTCAACTCTACCGCCCAGGCATTAATTAAACTCTACCAGACGTCTCGTAAAAAAATATACGCGTGCGCGTATTAGAGGATTTAGTACATAAAACTTTTGCAGTAAAAATAAAATCTCGCGCGTTTTACGCTTATCGCGAGCTCTGCAAACATATTTTTAACAATTCACCGCGATTACTCGTGGAGTAGCGCGATGTTCGCGCCGTACATTGCCCCGCTGCAGTTGTTTCGAATAAAAATGTCACAAGACGTCCGTTGTACATATAAAAGCAGTATTATAACTTATATTATGGTCGCTTGCAGACTTGGCTAATTATTTCTTTTTGTGAAACACTGAAACATTGTAATAAAAACACCAACGTGCACCGAAGGCGGGACGTGGTCGTGGCTCACATGGTGTATATACATAATACAACCCGGCGAAAAAGTTCGTTTCGGGCTAACGGATTTGGAGAAATTTTTTATTAAACCGGTCGGAAACGTCAAAGGCGGGGAATATGACTTCCCGAAAAAATCTCGACTCGACCGGACGAAATTATAATAAAAGCGATTGCTGGAGCCTGCAGGACGCGTTTAGTAATGATAATAATTGCACGGCGACTGATGACGAACGGTAATGTTTTTATAATGATGCGGGATCGTCGTCGGCGTTTTACTGAACGAATGCATATATTATTATAATGTATGGCAGAAATGGGTTTTTAAAAGACTGGCGCACAGACCAGATATATTAAATCATTCGTCGAGATCTAAACACAGTGCACACTACACGCACACACACACATACGACCAATTAAAACGACGTTAACCCATCGGGTTAGGACATAATAAATCCGTCATCCAATGATCTATACCATTATAATATTCGTGTATACAATAATATATTTTACTATAGTATTATACAGAATAGAGACGACGATTGCGATGCATCCTCCTCCGTGCACTGCTTCAGCGGTATACCAATAATAATGTATCATAACATACAATTATATTTTTAATAATTAATAATATATTAAAACCGACACGTTAAATACGCGATTGCGATCGTAGATCTGAGATCCTTCTCCCACGCAAAATAAGAATGCTCATAATCGAGTGTCTGTTGATCGTATAATTTGACAATAAACGTATAACATAATATTAATATTATCGCGTCTAGTGCGATCTTCTCGAAAAAACTTGGTATAGATGACTTTAAAATAATACAATATTTTTTATTTTGTTTTGTTTCAGACGACTTTCCGGACGCACAGCACCATCTCGGCCAGGTGAGTTAGATGCATTATTAGGTGTATAAGTGTATAACATGTTTAATATAATATAAAATATGCCACTATAATATATAATATATTTATGTCGTCGCCAACTCGTTTGTATACGTAGGTTACTCACACGTGCTCGCCCGTTCGAATATCCTTTGAAATTTGTTTTGCGTTTTATTCTACCAGTTTATTTTTTCTTAACCTGTTTACTTATTATCGTACCTGCACTTAATAAACTGTTTACAACAGCGGTATTGAAGTTATTCGACTAAAAACGAACTGAATAATATAATATAATGATATATGATTATTAATAAGAAAATTAAAATAACACCCCTTTTTATAGGTAGGTTACAGCTGAATATTAACGAACCTTTCCGAGATTACAAATTATTATATACTATTATATTTATAATTATTTTTAATTAATACAAACGTTTAGAAACTTTAAAAACGAGTCCTTTGATGTGACATGAGCTGGGGTGGAAATTATGTTGGAGAAAAATTTGAGTCTTTTTCAAGGAAATCGCGTGGGACATACCTATTTGATTATAAAGCAAAAAAATGCTATCTTTTTGTATTTGACGTTTCTAGCCGGGTCTCAGCGACAGCATGGTGAATAGAGATACCTTTATATAATATAGTTTTTCAATTTTCTCTCCGAGTTAAATAATACTGTACAATATACTTTGAGAGTTCGCGCGGTAGGTAAATATTTATTTTATAATATCAGTACATAGCACTAAAATGTTCCAGGGCACAACTACCACATTGAAAAGTCATTATAAGTAGCTTATAAATCCCGAATAAATAAAAATGTTTATAACCGAACGCGGTTGGTTCATCGTGTTGGATGTTTTAATTAGAAGTTATAACACGGTCGACACGGTATTATATCCTTTGAACGCCGGTCGCCGCGATGCCGCCCGCCGTTCGAGGAAAACGTGGGGTTGTCTTATATATTTTTTTTTCCCAGAATATATGCACTCGATGGGAGGGAACATCTGGTGGAATTATGGTTTTTATTATTGACTCTGCGTTTTTTCTTTAATTTACTCCATCTGCGAGGTAAAAATTCCATGACGTGTGTGTAGTGTATACGGCAGTGCGTTATGCATATAATATAGTGTGTTTGTATAACCTCAGCCTGCACATATAAGCTCGCAAACAAAATAATAATAACGACTCGAGTGCGCATAACACACTCTGTCTGTGTAATAATTCTCAGAAAATCGTGTTCACCACGAAATGCTAAATTCCGTCGGTAAGCGTCGGCACCTATCGCATTTTCGTATTTATATAACATATGACATAATGAGTGTCGGACGTCGGTGGTAAAACGCCATTAGGCACCAAAGGGTTGGTGTTTATATAGCCATATATAGGTAGGCACCACCTATAATGAAGTATAAAAATAAATACAATATATAATAATAATATTATATTATACACAGGTAGAAACTTAAATTTATTTTATATTCAGCGAACTCGAACAAACTGCAGAGTACGATTATATTGGCTATAAAACAACTAATAACAACAACAACAACAACGACGACGACGAAAACGAGGAAACTAATACATTTATATTGTACGCGATCGTCAAATTTTAACTAACCCAAACAAGGTTTTATGTAGTACCTACATTTTTACGATTTCCAGCTTTAATAATATATATTATGTAAAAAAACTATTGTGTTAGCGTGTGATGTTATGCAACGCGAGCGCTGGCGAGTGGAAACAAAATAAAAAAACACGTTTGGGATCAACACGCCATCGCGCGTTATAATAACACATCGTGTTGCGGGGGTAAATAGGGAGAAAAAAAATTATCAGAATTATTTCGTTTACATTTCGTGTGTATTATATTATGTACATTATCGCGGTATGAACGCACATGTACCCACTGTACAATCCTACACAATATAATAATAAATATTAAATAACGATAGGTATACCCGTGTACGAGTATATATTATATATTATTGTATACGTTGCGGTATAATTTATATTCCGTTCGGCGGCGGCGGCGGCGGCGGCGGACGCATAAAACTTTTGTCCGGTGCGTATATTAAAGGTATATTCTCGTATATAACATTACGCTCCTCCTCGTAATATATTATAATATCTGTTCTCCGCGCCGATAGGTTGTGTGAGAAAATTTTGAAGAATTGAACTCGCGTCGCGCACACTATATTATAATATATTTATCGCCGCATATATACTATCCATGTGTCCGAGTTGTGCGTTTACGGATATATCATATACATAATATTACGTATTATTATACATATGTATGATCTATCGCTGCGAGTTAAATATCACGCACGTCATTTAACATACTTATATATATATATATATATTTATAATATTATACATATATAGGTACGCTCGGAACGCGCTCGCACATTATAATAATATTATCATTATCATATATAATATATATGATATTATGTATAACGAGGTCGCGTGATGATATATTTTAATACGTACAGGGCAGAGTCGGTGGCGACAACTGCACAGAAATGCGTACACCCGGTGAAAATGTATAATAATAATAATAATAATAATAATAATATATAGTTATCTATATGCACCAGCTCGGCGCACAAACGTCGTGTCGTAGGTATAAGTATATAAATATAATATACTGGTACATCGCAGTATTATAGGGATATATATATAGACAATGTGCAGCAGCAGTTGTGGAAACGAGCATCATATAATATATTATATATATATTATATGGATACGAGTGTGTAGGTATATATATGAGTATATATATAGGTATCCCAAACACATTTTTTATTTAGTCCGCTGACAGAACAATACCAACTCGAGTATAAATTAATACGTTAGCTAGCTGCTGCGCGTATCGCCGCGATGGAGAGATAATAATGGACAGTATATATTCTCTGCGTACACTCGGTCCGTTTCCTTTTTTTCGCTTATTCTAAATTTATGTTCTCAATCGGATGTCAGACGGACGTTTCCAAGGCGCACTGCTGCCGCTGCCGCTATTTAATATACCTACGTTTTTCCCTTTAACAATTCAGACGACAGTCTTTCCGTCCGCTTACACATATTATATGTATATGGATACCTATAATACACCTGTATAATAATATATACTAACTTATGTTGCATGCATTGTTATAACACACACTCTACACATACAGAGCGATTCATTTATCACCAAACTGTCATTTTCTTAGTTATCTAATGGATTTTTGAAAACATTTCTTTGCATAATTTGAAGTCGTTACAACGCTGTAAAAAAAAATATATTTCTTGTTTTTTTTTTCGTTATCATATTAAAAGTTTTTTTTGCTGTTTTAAACTAAAAAATAAATACATTTTAAATTTCCGATGTTCCAAATCTGAATATTGTCAATGTATGAAAAATTAAAACTAAATTACGAACCTGCAATAGTCAATAAATTATAACTTACTTATAGAAGTATTTTAATGTTAGATAAGAAAAAACATTTTTTTCAAAAACAGATTACAGAGAAAAAGACTGTTTAGTTAGTGTTAACTGTTGAAAGAATCACCTTGTATATATTATTATAATTTATAACCGTTCGTTTGGATAACAATATCACGAAAACAATTTCCGTTTCCCTACATATTGCTGTGCATGGTATAATATGATATTACAACGTCTACATTATTATACGTGTGTAAAATATTGCGGTCGTAAACTTTTGGTCGTCTAATATTAATATATATTTCAAAATTACCGTGTGTGTATTAAACTGAAGCCAAAAAACTCGGGATTTATACGATCAAAATTTGGAACGCTAACAACTTTTCACGGTATATAAACTATATAATATCGACATGATTTTTGTACAACACTGTAGCTAGTATTGATATATTATAATATATATAGTATGTCTGTAACTCACAGCCAGTACAATGTACCTAGTTTATATAATGATATTTGTGACAATTTACAGAGTACTGTCATCTATATACAGGCTACGACTGTCGTATATTATAACGGCTATTACGGCTTGAGTACTGAACAATAACTTTTAACTAAAATAATATCATGTACTTTCTCGAAAATATATTAATAACATAAAAAGCTTTTTCATTAACTTTTCGACGAATAATTTATGTAAAACGCACCCCAGTACATTATCTTATTTTTTTCATGTTCGCACATTTTAATATGGGTAATGCAAATGTTTTCTTATAATATAGTCATTTACTCTACAGATTTAAAAGTTTTTTTTTCAACGTTTATAGTAGATACCTATATAATATTATACTAATAATGTCAACGGATAATATGCCTAACGAAAGTGTTATGGTATTGACATTAATTAATTCGTTGTTAATATATTATTTATATATGTATATTATTTAACACTGTTATTTCATTAAATAATTAATTATAACTGAGTATAAATCATTTTTTTTTCTGTTTCGGAAATATTTTAATTTACACCTCATTAAATATTACGATCGTAAAAGAAAAGTAATTTTGTGTGTAACTTACAACTCACGTTAAATATAAAACGTGTTTTGATGGGAATAATATAATCATTCTGTTTTAAATGAATTAACTGCTGCAGTCTATAAACATATCGGGTTTATTATTTAAGTACCTACCTAAAGATTATTTAAATATTGGTTCTTTTCCAATATTAAATGTTTGTACGTTAATTTGTTGATTGCTGTCTAAAATATGTATTCAGTAGGTATTCATATTTATTCGTTTTATTTATTTGTACAGTTATACCATGTATATCAATGTGAACATTGTTTTTTGAAAAAAAATACTCCAAATTCAACTCCGTAGTATAAAATATATATTATTTTAATACAATATACTTTTTACAGTAGCAAATAAATGACGCACGCTCGGCCGGCTCTGTATCCTACCTCCGTCATATTATTATATTATAATATAATAATATTATTTATGTAAGCGTATTTCTGCAGTACGTGTGATGTGCATCTAAAACGGAGAGGATTTAAAAAAAATGAATACTTCATAAATATAAAACGATATCATAATGTTATACGAATATAATACCTAGTATGGCTGTACATGACGTTGCACCAGTACTCACTACTCACCTTTACCTATGTGCATCGTTTATGCGTACATTGTTTACACATATATTGTATTATAGTGTGCTGTAAAAGGAAAAATACGAACATATAAACATCACAGTAAAAACGAAATAAACATAATCGTAAAACAAGACTCGTAACGTATTTTCGTTAAACAAAATACAATATAATAAAATGTTAATTTGCAGGTTTTCGGGGCTGCGCAAGTAATGCACGTGGCGTGGGGGCGGGGGTGACCCCGTATGAATAATTTCGTAGGTATAGTGCATAATAGGTGGTGGAGCGCGTGACTAATCGCGTTTCTTACTGATTTTTGAAAAATGTTGGAATTTATAATATAATACTTTATGATAATATTATATATTTTTCGAATACAATAGAACTATTATTAATATATGTACCTCTGGTACCTAATAATAATTATGAATGATGAAGTTTTTTGAGTTACTTTTTTCTAATCTGTATAAAAAAATACGTTTAATGGAACCGAAACGAGTTGATGAGTGGACTAATACAATTTTTTTATCTTTTATTTCTGTTATAAATGCGCATTTTTGAGCCTTGCGGGAACACTATGTTATAGCTTATTATGTGCATATATTAATATAATATATGAATTGTTTTGCCTGTTATCCAATATTAATATCAATTGTTCACTGTACATCCATAGTAATTATACGTTGTTATTTTTTTGTATGCGCAGAATGTTTGGTGTCGTTCGATCCGCCCACGGACCGGGTGCATCACCATCACCACCATCAGCAGTTGCACCACCACCAGCGACAGATCGCCCAGATAGCGGCGGGGGACCACCACCACTTGAACCACTTGAACCACATGAACCATCTGAACAACCTGAACAACCGTCGCGCCGGCCCGATCGTCCGGCGATCCGGTGGCCCGGACGGCACGTCGTCCATCAAGCACACCGGACCCGGACGGCCGTCGGGTGGCGGTGGAGTTCGTAACGGCGTCGGCGGTGGTGGTGGTGGGGGCGGGGGAGTCGTTGGGAGCCTCATCGGGGGCAGGATCGGCGGGGGTGACGACGGTGGTGTCGGCGGCGGCGGCGTTGGGCATCAGCTGTCCGTGAACCCGGGCGATTGGTTCCGGTGGTTCCGGCGGAAACGAGGCGCCGTGCTGCCGCCGGACGCCGTGCCGTCCAATCAGAACGCCGTCCGCGCCAACCATTACACGGTCGAAGAAGCGGCCGCCGCCATACCAGTGGTGGTGTACGCGTCCGTTATCGGTGGAGGTCAGGATGACGGTCCACACAACATGTCACCGCCACCGCTGTCCCTGTCGTCGGCCGCCGACGACGTGCTGTACACCGAACTGGACCGGGTTCCGACGCCTGCTTACCACAACGCCGGTTACGCGTTCGACCAGCACAGCAGCGCCTACTACTCGGACATGTACGAGCCAATCGACCCCTATCACAATCATCACCACCATCAGCGGCAGAATTCGCTGCCGTCCGACTACGTCTGATATTACGCCCGGCACGCGCCGCCCGCGAATCGCCGCCGCCGTCGCAGCCGACGACGCCGATCGCACGCCGCCGCACTGCCGGTCTCGGTTCCAACGGTCTCTCGCGTGTACCGTGAAATATTAAAATAGGTGAGTGTTGTTGTTTTGTGCAATAGATTATTATACGTCATATTATAAGGGTTTGGCCAGGTATGTAGACAACTAGACAAGCAGTGTTGGGGAAGTTACAATTTGTTGTAATTAATATTTAAATTATAAATTACCATTAAAAATTGTAATCAAATTATTTTCAAGTAACTTTTTTCTTTGTTTGATCAAGTTACGTTGTTTTTCAGTCAAGAAAAGTGAATTATAAAAGTTGCTTTTTATTTTTAAAAATATTAGGGCAGTTTAATAGTTATATTATAATTTTTCCAATGCATTATTTATATAAGTAATGAGTTATGACTATCAACAATATGGAATTGTATAAAATCTTTATTTAAGAAATATCAAGTATAGAAATAATTTGCTTTTTTCTTACTTTTTAAATTAATTTAGAATAACGATGCATTCTTCAAATTATAACCTAAAAAAAAAAACTCTACAATATAATTTTGTCGCAATTACAAAAATGCAGACGTAAGAAAATCGTACAGTTTATACATATTACCTATAGTTACAAATATTGTTAATTAATTTTTAAAATATATTAAATAAAAATAAAGTGCCTACCCAAAGAGTAATTCAGTTATTTTGCTACAAAAAAAGTAACTTAAATTACTTATAAATAACTTAAAATAATATTTAATTATAAATTATATCATCAAATGTATTAAAAAGTAATTTCGTTACTGTAACATACTATAACATGCAACTCATTAGTTATTCCACAACACTGTTGGTACCGCATGTATTTATTATTGGATAGAGCATCATTTATTACATATACCGGGTGTATCTTAAATGCTATTGTACTCGGGTTTTTCTAAAATAATTATGGATCGATGAAATAGGATTTCAAAAAACCAAAAAGGCATATTTCTTTATATTTTAAACACATTTTTTTCAATCATTTCAAAATTATTGAATTCTGTTGTACCAATACCAACATCAACTTTTTTTTGCAAACGATAACAACTTTATTTCTTAATGGATTCTGATAAAGATTCTTTTCTGAGAATGTTGATCGTCAAATCATTTACTTTAGTTCTCTAGCTTATGGATTATTGTATTCTAAATTTTAGTAAATGCATTAATACTTTAAATTTAAATAATTGGTATAAATTGAATGTGCAAGAGCTGAATACTTTTTTCTTTCAATTATCTTTTTATACACTGAAATCGGTAATCTTATGAGACGTTCCTAAACATTTTTTGGGATAAATGTCCACAAAATTGTAGGTAAATAAAGTTGATTTCGCTATTAGTACAATTGCGTGTTCAACAATTTTGAACTTGTTATAGCAAAATTGCTCGTTAAAAATAAAAAACCCGTATTTTTTGTCTTTTGAAATCCTATTTCATCGATCCATAATCGTTAAAAAAAACCCGCGTACAGTGACATAAAATACATTCGGTACCTATAGATATGTGAAAAGTAGATCATGTGCTCCCTCGAAGACGGTAACCTCCATTCGTATACTCATGGTATAATACAGGTACCATATAACATATAATATATAAACTATATAGGTTGGGCTAGGTAGGTACCTATACGAAATAATACTTGTACAGAGATTACCTGCTATATGGTTTATTTTTTTTTTACCTTAGGAAGTTTTAAATTAAAAAAAAATTCATAATCGTTTAGGTCGCGGGCTGCGACGCGTTATCCCTTCCACGCATCTCGGTCATAAACATCTATTTTTTTTTCTGTATAAATATCGTTATCTGAGTTTGGAAAAAACAAACACTCGGGGGGCAAACGGAAATGTTCGACCTACGACTTTTTTCCCCCCATAATATATATATATATATAACATATAAAAATTGAAAAAAAACTCGACACAATATTAAAATATTTTGCTCGCCCTTACATGCGTTATTATTATTTACACTGAATATACATCGACTGACGCGGGCGACGATGACAGAATTGATAGCGTATGTGTATGTACATTCGAGGTGTATCTACATAATATAATCTACATATTATATACACAATACACATATAAAGTTCATACGTGGTTTTCTGTTTGAAAAGATTAATCGGGATAAACATTGGCGTTATATACAGCCTGAGTATGAGTGGTATAGATAACGACTGCAATTGATATACCTACCTACTAAAATATGTATTGCCTTGGCGGTTGATATGTATATTTATGTATAAAAAAGACGAAAAAACTTAAGACATTTTATTTTCCACTTATATGCGTGCGTGGTACTTCCAGTTATTCGATTGTCGTGCGGGTGTACATAATCATATAAGTGTATTATAATAATATGCTGGACGCTGGTATACAAAAAGTTCTTAAGATAAATAGAATAATATTTGACTCCTTACCAATCTACCAAAATTATCTGATTGCTATATAATTAATATAATATGCGATAAACATTTTTTAGGATAGTAATAGGTGTCGGGGACTGGCACAATATATTTATTAAGATTTAATGACAAAGTGAATTTTGTGTAGGAGTTGGATGGGTTATATTTTAGAACGTGATTTACAAAATGGCCAAAAATATTATGTTGTTAAATCTTTCACCTTAATTTCTCTATTAAGAATTTTTTTATTTTATTATTTCTCAAAAGCTGCAGAAAAAGTGAAACAATTTAAATTATTTTTTTAAATATTGCCATTTATATAACAATAAATGCATGAAAAAAAATCGCTGCATTGTTACTCAAAACTGCCTCCAATTAATGCTTTTAAATTAATTTCGGATACTGAATCTTTACTTTGTATAACAACTTCTATAAAATTATTCATTTAGTTCTATACATAATTATAATTTTAAAACGATACTGGTGAATTAACTACCTATATTTTATTAACGCTTTTGTCTTTAAGTTATACACATACGATTAGAAGAGTATATTGTTGCTTTAAATAAATATTCTATACCTTATCGCTTTACATTAATACTAATTTACATTTAAAACAGTATTTATATACTCTCTATACGCGACTTATTCAATTGATACCGTCAATTGAGTTTCGTGTCAGTATATTTGAAATTTAAACTTTATACTTCGGCTTGAATAACATATAACTCAAAATAAGAAATTAAATTCCACATTGTGTAATGGTTATTGAAGTGATGCCTCTATATTCAACACAAACGTTTTTGTATAAAATATTTTTATAGGTATTGATATTTAAAAATATTTATGTATAGTAGTTAAATTGCAGTTTGACTTTGTCCGTAGTTATTAAATAATAAATGATAACTTTATCGATTATAGATGTTTGAATTATAAAATTACAATAAATAAGTTATTATGATTACGTTTTAGACGATATTAGTTTGTGAAAAATATAACTATTTTTATGGAATACCATACCACCTACCAGTTATGTGTTATTTGGAAATAGAAATGTAAAATACATTTGTCTATATAATCATAAAGTTTAATTTTTTACGAAAGCAACATATTATATTCAAAAAAAAATCTTGAATTCCGATCCTAACGTATACCAAAAATATGACAGAGTAAAAATATATATTATGTACCCCGTGGTGTATTTCTAAGAAAAATATAGCTAAAAACACATAATAGATGTCGCAAAACCCAATAACACAAATTGCGTATCGATTGGGGGAAAAAATAAAAGTTATCTACGTGTTTTGGTGACAAAGTCGAATCGAAAAGAAAAGAAAAGGCTCGTAATAAAGATATGTATACACTATACATGTTCTGTTGCAATTTTGCAGCGATTCAGTTTAAACTTATATATAAGGTAGGTTCTCATATTAAATTTTTTTTGTGTACTTTTCAATATTTTTTAACGTGTTATAACCATATTTTTCAACCTATTATATTATGACTCCTGGTAGTTTGTGAAATGTTATATTTGTATATCGTTTATCCGTATGATATGATTCAAATAATAAGATACCCTTTTGTATAATTATTAATTACCCACATAATATTTTATTTCTGTTGAGCAATGTTGAATTTTGCAATGATGCATACAAAAAAATTAAATTATAAAAATGGAAATAAATAAAAATGATATTACTAAAAAGAGGTTGAGGATTAAAATATTATGTTTATTGGACTCTACCCCTCAAATATTCCCTTTGACACGTCCTGTTAGAATAACAGTTGGCCGGAGTAATATGATATTAATTTAAACTGTATCAAGTACTACTTGCAGCAGCACACACGTGATACTCACACATATATATAATAAATAATAATTATTGTCGAGAGTTTTGGACGCTTTTCGTTGACCCGCATGTTACCTAAGCCCATTTTTCAATTGAACGCCATCCAAAATATTGTAAGTATATTATATTATTACAGAGTGTTATTAACGGTGTAAATTAATAGAAAAAAGAACGCCTGCGTGAGGGTCGTCGAAGCCTGCAGCACACGTTAGCTGTTAGCATTGCTCGCGGGGTTTTATCTCAATTTGATTTTTTAAGGAAATAGAATGCATTCACGTGACTATCGTATTACAAACGGGTCATCGAACACCCTATAATTGAACCGAGCAATATGTGTGGGTGCATGTACGATTCGATGTGAAATCATCGTACTTTTATAGTTGAAATTGATTTTGGTACACTCATACAGAATACCTAAACACAATTATATATTATAACGAACTATACGCAGACTTTAATCAGGCTGTAATCGTACTTTTCTTTTAACTTTTAAGTAAGACTTCAACATCATTGCTGATTAGCCTACATTTGTACAACACGGAGAGAAAAAGAAAACAGGTTGAGAAAATTAAAATGAAATATATAGACATATTTACAATTTATTATTTTAATTTTGGCATGGAAGAACTTATATATTGCCTCTATGTTTTCTTCCTCGAACGCTAGTCGGAGAACAGTTATATTGGAGAAGATTTTCCGTGCTTCAACGTATTTTGAACATCTGGTGCGACGATGTGACCGATGGAAAGGTTTTCCTTGTATACGTCACATCATACTGGGGCAGGTTCTTTGGAGAAAAGGAAGGAGTATGTGAGATGAGTGTGGCCTATTCTAGCTCAAGTTATAATGTTTAGAATGATTTTTTGATAGAAGGCTTAATATTAATTCTAATCGTATTTTTTATTTGGTATTATACGTGTATTTTAAGTGTATAATTGTTGTCTTGTTGAGTATATGGTACGCGATGGTCAAGTATTAAAGAGGAAAAAGATGCTGGTATAATGTTAGTTAGTGGTGATGGCGATGAGCAGTATTAACTATTAAGTAGTATTGTTAATTGTCATACTAAACAGCGTATAAATATGAATGTTTTATCCAGGGATGCTTTAAAAACCGATATCTACTGACTCATATTCTAGTATGTAAGTTAATTACTTTGGTAGAAACTTGACCAAGAACAATTATTATTGAATTAACGTCTTGTGTCTATACTGTTTATTACACTCAAAAATCTACGAGACTAAATTAATTAGCTGTTAAATATAAGTATAATACTAGGGCTTTAAAGTTTAATTTTTGTACGCATATAGGTACATTATTATTCATTTCAAAAATGTTTAAGCATATAATAATATAAATCTGTATTTAAAAAAATATCTATAGTAATTTAGTATCTATAGCAATTACAGATAGTAGTATTCGTAACTTTGTCGCCATAATTTTTTCAATCGCTTGTTTTTAAGGGTTATAAACGCTTCACCGACATTACAGTGCTCAATTTCATCGTATAAATATCGATGTATCATTATATTATACTTTATTAGGTATTTTTTGTTTTATAGTCGAAAAGGTGAAACGCCCCCGATTGTATTACACCGATTATTATATGTATTATACATAGATCTCGCGCGCGAAAAGTTAAAGAGTGCGTCAGAAAAAAAATTTTAAAAAAAATGGAAATTAACATAACATTATACTTTAATACCTAATAGCTATATATGTATACTTTTCACGCCCGACGGATACGTGTGGGAACAGTCGCCGGCCGGCCGTTTGTACACTCTGCAGTATGCTCACACACAGTCGGCTGTATATATCGCGTTTCGTCTGCGCTTGTACATCACATTCGAGAGATTAATTACCCGAAATTATTCACCTAGTCACACGACTGACGTGAAATTTTATTTATTTTTTAATTAAAAAAAAAAATAAAACGCTAGACACTGCGGGTTGCCTCGTATAGAACAAAACATATTAATTTTCCACCGCGTTATATATTATACACGCATAATATGCTTATCGGAAAGATACCATATGCGAGGAAAATATGTAAATTTCCTGGCAATATTTCGTCGGATATAGTATATGATATATACACTCGCGCCAGACAAGCCGCGCCGCTATGTATTTATATATGTATTACTGCCGAGTTGGTCGTGTATATATCACAATATACATATTGTATAACAATATTATGTACCTATACATTATTAAGTTATAAGCTCACGCATAGGCGTGCGTAGATTTTGTTCGCAGGGTATGCAGCTGAAAAAATGTGCCCCCCTCCCCAGATATAAATGTCCCTAAATTTAATTTGGATGACATTGTATTATAAACTTATGATTAGTGATTACTACTTAATATTAGGAAAAAAAATAGGTTTTTAATCTCTTTTTGAATAAAAGGAATTTTTTTTTTTTGTTTATTTAAATGAAAATTTACGTTATACATAATTGTTATTATTCAAGTCTGTAAAACCTTATATTTTTTAAACCCATATTTCCTTAAATTATCGAAAACCGCCCAAAATGAATTTAAAACAAGTCCATACTCCGTGTCAATATCGCATTACCATTTTATAACTTATAATCAATAACCAGTAACCAGTCTAAATTATGAACAGAATTTGTTCATGTGCCTCCAGTGTCTAGCCGCAGGGTATGCAAGCGCATACCCTGCATACCCCGTGCGCACGCCTATGAGCTCACGGCATTAGCCAGAGTGAAAAAAAAGTATATAATTTTATACCATTTCCCCAAAACAATGGTCACGATTAATGAAACATAAAGATCGTTCATTAGATTATAAGTAAATAGGTAATATAAAGGGCTGCAAATTAAGAATACGACACTAAACAAAATAATATGCATATTGTCTGTTGATCAGCTGAGACTTTTAACATTTTCCAGGAAAATACCTTAAATTATGATTTGTGAAGGGCTATGACTATACCTTTACGGAAATTGGCCGGATCTTTATTGGAAGAGAATTGCATTTGTCTTAAAATTTGTAATCAAAATCATAACTTGTGTAACCCTCTTCCATATTTAAAGACCAGAGTGATATTTCTTAAATAACTAGACTAGGAAAACTGCGTTTTAGAGTATTTTTATTACTAGATACTTATACTCAAATTACAAAAATAATATATTTTTTACCAACCACCGTTTTTAAACTCGATAAAACTAAATTTCAAAACCAAAAAGTATGGCCGTATATAAAATATCTTCTCTTGTGGGACTTGTCCTAAAGAGAGATAACAGGACAACAGGAAAAATAGCTTAAAAAGGCAGTAAAGTACTTTGCAGCTCATTCGACCTTTTTCATAATACGACTGCGCGTGTTTCGGTGGAACCATATAGGTACATAGAACGTGTATTTATTTATTTTTTAGAGTGAAATATATTATGTACTTACGTTTACGCGTAAATACGCTACGATGTTGTCAGTTTAAGCTTTTTTTCCTGTTATTTTGCCGAGTAGTTTTTTTCACAACTATGGATATTCGGGGCGATGTGAACCGAAGGCGTTGTGGCATCGAAAAAATATTTACCACCAGGATTATAACTTACGCGAAATGCATTCTTGTTTTTAATGCGTATTTAACGAGCTTAATCGTTGTATACACACGCGATACTATCTGATAACACAGCAGCATAGGGAATAGAAAAATCAAAGGTTTCCGCGCGTTGTACCTTACAAGACACGCGCAATCGTAGGTAATCTCTAAAAAGTATACGGTAATTAAAGTATGGTAACACTCGCAAATCGTATATTACACCCAAAAAAAGGACAGTATAATACATATTTTGTACGGCACGTCCGGTCCCTGTATAATCAGATGTAAAATAAAATTAAGGTTACAAGAAAATATATCGTCTGGATGTGTGGTATACTATGTGCTAACAGTTGTAATAACATGGTAGGCATAGAAAAACAAATGCACGACGCGCACGCATAAGCACGATTACACGAATCGACGATTCGGCAATATTTACGTATACCTAGTACCTGGTTATAACCTACCTGTAATAAATGAACGAAATAAATCCAAACGGACGTTTGGCAACTCTGTGTCCTAATAGTAAAATATGTTTTTGTGTTGTTCATAATATAATTAGTGAGTCCGTAATTAACGTCGGTATATATTTATTTTTTTCAGAACTAGTCGCTGTACGCTGCGGCTCGTCTGCCGAAAATGCTGTTCTGCGGTCCTGCACCACGACGATGCACTAATGCACTTGGGCTATGCGACATCATCGTGCCCGCGATGACATGCTGATTTCGTCGCAGATCGATCGATTGCGGCCACCGTTCTAATATTATAATTTATAATATTAATCATCGTGCCAACGACTGACATCCACTCATTTCGATCGATGACGGTCAGATGACGCACAGCGACCTATTACCAAAAACTACCACTATACATACATCGGCCGGCGAATATATAATAATATTATCACGTTAGCGAAAGTCACATCATGTCGGACGTTAAGATGATTATTATCATTGTCATCATCATTATTATTATTATTGTTTAGTGCAAACCTAAAGTTATTATTTTTCTTTTTAATCTTACGTTTAAGTGTAATTATAGACTTTTTTTGCATAAGTGTTTTAATTAGTTGTTGATTGTTTATATATACCTACATAATACTTCCAGTGATAATAATTAAGTGTATATAGTACCTATATATTATGTAATTTATAATATTATTATTGTTTAATAACGAACACAGTGTAGCGCCCGCGACTTAAATTCTAATAACATAATGTGTATATAATGATACGTTTGCGTTCAACTCTCACCGAAACGACGATCTTTAATGTATAATATTACAATGTATAAAATATAATATATCGTCGTACGCGCATAATTAGTCACGAATGTTATTTTTTTACTTGCATATATTTATTAAAAAATAATATGTGTATAGATTATGTACAAAAATGCAATATGGTTAGTCTTTATTTTATCTCAGCTATGTATACTTGTATCTTACAGTATCTCTGTCTTACGCTCTAATCTTTTCCCCCTCCTCTCACTCTCACACGGTCACTCTCTCTATCACTCTTTCTCTATTTTTTTTTCTCTCTCTCATTCTCTCATATTATCTTGTTTTCACGATTTTATATACTATTAAAAATGTTATTTTATAAATCACATAGTATTTGTGTAAACTGCAGAAAAATATAACAAAATATATTATAATACTATGCTCTTTCGCTGCAGAAATTTAAAAAAAAAGTATTTTGAATTTTATCGTCTGTCAGCGTTTACCTACAGTGACTAAGACCTTTTAATTATAAAACAGTAACTAATGCGTATATTATCGTTTGCAAAAGAAATCGTCTGTTGCAGTAGGTTTTATTTTCAAGCAGGAGAGCTTGAAATTGGTTTTTGATAGATTCTAAATTTTTATTTGAATCTATAAACTATGAATTTTAAACATCTTAAAGCCTCATAATAATACTCAAACGATAAAATTATCACAATTATTGAACCGAAAATTGATTAGAGTGGTAAATCCTATGATAAAATTCACAATCCACCTCAAGTCAGTTCGTGTTTCACCGATTAGCCAGTAGTACATTAAATTATTACAAGTGCAGTTGTATATGTTGCAGTCACGGAAATAGCGGCGTAGAGACGTTGCATCGCACATAATTTTCGTGTTTAAATATAGTGTTTCTGGGCTTTCCATAGGTACAAAGAACAATTTCATGTTATTGAGTAATATAAACTGTCGTATACCTATTACCTATCTTCCGAAAGGTACCAAAAAATATTATAACAGTAACTTTGATTTTGAATGGTGTCTTATTAATACATATGTTCTTTATATGTCAGAATCGTTTATATTTTTCAAGATTTTTTAACAACCAAAAATAATTATATTAACAATTAAAAATATCTAAATATCTATATGAATATAATCAGTTAAAAAAAGCTAAACAATTTTTGAAAATTATCTCATCTATAGAAGATTATACTAATAAAAGTCTTCGAGAAAATTTAAACTCCCTCCGAAAATTCGTTTCTGTACCTATCAAAACAAAAAAAATCTACTAATTTAATTTTTTTCAAAAATCTATGTTTTGTAATTTTCCACAATTTTTTGTAATTTGTTGTTAGTTTTCTCTATTATTCAAAAATGTCCTGTGAAATTCAAAAGATCACCACCTGAATAGCACCAGATGGACCCAAAATAATATAAAAATTATTCTTACAATTGATGATGGAACCGAGTCTTCTGGTTAAATTTGTGCAGAATAGACAGATACAAAATACATAACATAGCTTATAATATATTCTCAATTACTAGCTTATTACTGCCTTAGAATGTTTTAATTGTTATATAATATGAGTATTTATCCCTAACAATATCAGTGTTTGACAAAAATAACAATAATTATTCCATCTACAGTAATAATAGTGTTAGCTGGCTAAAATGATTAAATAAAACCCACTACACAAGTATTATGTATTATATTAATACAGCTGAAATCAAATAATTTCCATGAGAAATCCAATTTGAATCTATATATAATATAAAGTCCATTCATACAAATATTATTAACTATAATGTTGGGTATTTGGATTTTATGCCGCGCTTTGGCAGATTTGCGACTGGGACTTTTAGGTAGTTCTCTCTTTCCCATCCTGGCTACGGCTTTGGCTTTGGCTTAGTCATCATACTAGCCACACCCGCCACCAGTAAACTTCGATAATCGTGTGACATACTACATATCAGGATTTATGGTATATGAGTGACTACTCGTATACCATAGTCCTGCAAGGAAATCAGTTATTAGGTACAATAGCGCATTTAATTTATATTTTGCTAAAGACGTATCAATAAATTATGTAATTACTATTTACTAACCAAAGCTACTTCTAAGTAGTTAGTACTAGTTGCCCTATCGCAAGTGCCGCATTTGCCAAATTTAAAATAGGTTTACTACCTCACTCAGTACCATAGCACGAAATCAGTCTCTCGACGTTTGTGTACGATAAACCCGGAAACGTCCTATTTCAAATATAATATATAGACGTGCAAAGGTGTATATTATATTGTTACAGTGATGGTACATCGGTACAGGTATAGCCGGTGTGTAGGTACCAATATTACATACAAAAGTAAACGATTTCGAGCCGTTTAAACGCCTCGGGTGGTTATTAAACAGCTAAATATAAAAATAATATATACGCCACACTCGCCGGAGCTCGTTGCAGTGTTCCACTATACCATAAATTAAATACGTTTTAATTGGTATAATATATACTGCAACAGCAGCAGCAGTCAGTACAGGTATAATACGTGTGTCTTATGTATATTATAGGTATACACATATATTGTATATTTGTATATTATTTATACAGTGTACCTACGTGTGTCGTGCATATATACAGGTGCAGTGGTGCACCCATATAATATATAATATAATAATGCAAACTGCAGCAGGTACTACCTATATAATAATAATAATAATAATAATAATAATAGCAGGGCACACGCGCGGGATGCAGCGATTTTCTACTTTCGAGTGGGAGTCATCGAGTTGCACCGGCGAATACCGACCTGACCGCGTATATTATAACTCACAACAGTATGCGCACTCGATACCTATATTTTATAAATATATTATGTAGGTATAATAATATAGAAGCCTTCAGTTTACCTATGCATACGTGTCACTTGAGCGTATTATCACAACACGCAGTGTGCATACCCATACACCGTCGTGTACATCACGAGTACAAGTATAGAAAAAAATATGCGTTTTACCTACAGATATTGCAATTTTTGCATTTTCCTTCCGTTCATCTCATATCGGCCATATCGCTCTCAACCCGACCACGAGTATCATGGCTGATATCATTAAAATAAATGATTTAGATTGTTATAATATGGGTACATCTTACATTGCTATATTATACTACCTATTATATCATAAGTCATAATATTATACAACCTGAGACGAGCTACGCATGCGTTAATGTGCGTTGCGTGTGCACTGCGCTATGATGTTATGAGCTGGCAGCCATTTTTTGAGCTTTTTAGCCTATAAAAATATTTTTTTTTGTGTGTTATATAGCCACTGCGCAAGAGTGTGTGTACGGTGGACGCGTGTGTTGGTAAACGCTAGAAAACTCGTTTAGGAATTTGTTTTTCCATAAAAAGTTGATTAATGTTCTAAATATTTTGTGTAAGTATATTTGGTATGTACTAAAACGAGCCAAGTTTTTCATTGTGCAGTTTCAAACTATTTTAAGTCTCTAACGTAATTCATTCTCGATTTACTTGATTAATTTTATTGTTTTCGGATTATTTTGGAAAGTAGGTACAAGGAGCAAGGAGTTTTTTAATTTTAATCTACTAAGTTCGAAATTTGAAACAAAGTTACAAAGTAGAAGATTGAATCATTTTTACTGCTCAAAAAAAAAAAAGTGATCATTGATGACATTATAATATGGCTTATCATCTATGACAGACCCGAAAATAAATAAATGAAAAAACGCACATCATTGTAAAACTAATATTCGCAGTATATTGCGGTGAAAACTTAACAGATAACGCCACGAGGGTGTACGTATACCTGTATTTTACAACTTAGTTCGTCGTGAATATTTGGTGGGTTGGTCGTATATCATCGCTTTATACCTAGATAGTGTACTCCTTGAGATTATTTAATACCGCTGAAAGCCTGAAAATCGTTTATTAGGATAATTTCTGACGAAGTCTACTTTAAAATTATTTTCCCGGCTTAGCGATGACCAATATTGATGAATAATTTGTTCATTGTTTTCCTGTTTTCACATGATAATTTTTTTTATCACTCATCGATAGTCATCGCGACTTGCACCTTAACCATAATTAAATATGAATTTATAACTTATATAGTACTCTCCGCTTAATTGCTGTTATCCTGTAATCAGTTCGTGTTCGATTGTGCCAAAAAACTAATGTAAACCAAATTCAAACCATTCACAACAAAACCTACTTACCTATACTCATAATCACTGACGCACCATCACACATCTCCAACTATACTATACACACAGATTTAAATATAAAAACCGTTCGCGTCTAAGCAGTAACGTTTTGCAAACGATTTCACAATAAACTTCAAACTCATCTTCATTCCCTTATATCAAATTCAGCTTCTCGTACAATCCCGGGAAATCCCACACGGCGACTGAAAAAAAATATTGTTAGTAAAATATTTACTCAATGATTAATTTTTAAAATTTTTAAAAAAGACAAACAAATAGGTAGTGCTTTCACTGGACGGCTTCATCCCTCGCCCTTTTTCATGTACAACATCTCTCACTTATCACATATTCTTATTGTGCCCAAAGGTACAGATTGTATATCTCTTGTTAAAAATAAAAAATAAAAATAAATCACTTATCGCTAATTAATAATTTTGTTGGCTATTCATTCTGATTTGTACTTAATAGTTAATTTTTTTAAGGGTAGCAGATAAAATAGAAAAACAGTAGATTGGGCAAGTAGAGGAGTCACAATATACGTCAAATCATACACCCCAACCGAATAAATGGTAACCTTGAAATAGTAGCACTACACATACAACAAAGGAAAACATATAAAATATTATGTATAACATAATATATAAATACTTATCTTATAAATTGTATATACGGGTAGTGTACTGTGTGCTTTCAATAATTTACAACAGAGAAAATCTTATAATCTACCAATAGTCGATTATTTGCCTATTTATTACATTAAAAATTAATTTTAAATTCTCAAAAATATATAAAATATCCTCAAAGTATTTGCAATTGCTTTTAAATACACATCAAATACTTTTTAAATCTTTATGCATTTGTATAATACTACATGTCTGTAGTTGTAAATACAAATAAAAAGTATACTTTTACAAGATATGCAGTGTATTACGCTTCTATCTAGGTAGGTAGGTAGGTATTATGCGTATGGTGAGTATATAGTACTAATATATAGTATATAGTACTTAATACTTATATTATACAGTTTTACACTATAACGCCGCCGGCAAGGAGAGAAATGAATACACGGTCCAATTAAAATAATATATATTCCAAAAGAAACGTAATGTATAATAATATACACACACGTATGTACTTTTGACTTATATATTATGCTATACTTGCGCTCTCGTAATGGTACGTTAACTTCGGCAGTCCAGTTTTTATTAATTTTTTT